AAGCACATTCCAAAATCAATAGCCTGATAGCTAAATCGGAGGTGTTTGAGAACACCCTTAGCCAATCACTGCAAGCTTCTGAAAGTACCTATGAAATACAGTTGATATAATTTCTACTAAATCTCTATTACCATGCAGTTTATCATTTTGAACACCTGACCTCATTAGCCCATAACTTTCTGTAAAAATACGAGTTTCTTCTATGCTAGTCTTATACATTTAAAAAAAAAATAATAATCATTAGCAAATTGTAATAACTAAACTGATCAAAAAATTATATATAGAACTTTATTACCTTTATTTTCATTAAAAAAATAATTTCAAATAATCATTTTAACAAAATTTTTTTAGCTAATCTGTATGATAAGTTTCCTATATCAAAATTACCTTGGATCAAATTTTTTTATACTAATATCAAATTGTGAAGTTTGATTAAAAATAGGTATTTTTGTAATAAAATTTGGTTTAAAAATTTCCATCATAAAGAACAAATTAAAAAAAACCCAAAATTATATTAGCAAGTTTCACTGCTATACTGAAAATAATTTATATTTGTCTAGTCTTTTTGAAAAAATATGTCATTATTTTTTTGTCTTTTTCTTCATTATTAGACACAGCTCTTTTGACTGCATCATCATTATTATTATTATATTTATTGTCAACCTTAGCATGTTCTTTTTTGAACTCAGACTTTATTTTTTTCAATATTTAATGTCTGACTCTTTTTATATTAACTGTCATAGCACAAGATCGATCAGCTAAGCACATTATAATGAAAACACAATACAAGATACAAGAATGTAATGCCAAAGAACAGGATATTATACACCCAATACTAAAGATTTATTTATTAAACAAAGAGCTAAGTATATATTTTTCTTTTCTTTTATTCAGTAACTTCCTTATTACTAATTACTAATCATTTTCATAGAACTACCTAGGTATTATGAAACTATGACTACATATTTAATGCACTGTTTATTAATATTACTAATTACTAATATTACTAATTACTAATTTTATTTATTCATTTTTTATATGTATAACATCTTGGGTTTATAACAGTCTGAGTTTTGGTCTTGAGTCACTGACTTGGGTTATGGACTTGGGTTATAGGCTTAAGTTGGACTTGGGTCATGGATTTGAGTTGTCTTAAGTCATAGGCTTGAGTCAGGCTTGGGTCACAGGCTTAAGTCACAAGCTTAAGTTGTCTTGAGTCTTAGGCTTGAGTCAGACTTAGGTCATAGGCTTGGATGGCTTGGCCATGTAACTGTAACATTATTTTCTTCTTAATGCTTTGTCTTTTTCTTCTCTCTTGCTTCTATTTTAATGTAGTTGTTCTCATCTTTGGCTTGTAAGGATATAACCAGTGAAAATTTTTTATGGCTTCTTTTGCATGTACAACATTTTTGACAGATTCTCATAAATGTTTGCTTGAGTCACAGTTCTTCCAATCAATTAGGTAATGTAGTTTCTTTTAGATTAGTTTAGAGTCAAGTATTTTCTTAACTTTGTATTCTATCTTACCATCCACTATTACTAGAAGAGGAGGGTTCCTTGTGTCTACTAAGGATATCATTGGCCACATATAATTCCAAGAAGGATACATGAAACACATTATGGATTTTGAGTAAAGGAAACAAGTCTAGACAATATGCTATGGGGTTAATTTGGGTTGTAATTTTATAAGACTCTAATTTTTGATAATCCAATTTTCCTGATAGATGTTGTATACAAATAGTTTTTCTTATTAATCAAACTTGGTTGTTGGTTTTAAGCACAGGTGGCTCTTGCTGTTATTGATTAGCATTTCACTTATATTGTTTTATAAGTTCTTTCTTAATTTGTAGTAATTAAGCTGCCTTATTCTTGGTGAATGGAACAGTTAATTATAAAGGCACTTGAATATCAAATCATGAGCAGAACCTGTAATTGGCCAGAAATAAAGTAATTTTTGTCAATGAATGCATAGAGTTATTGTATGAAAATTCAGCTAAGGGTAGAAGATTGGCCTAATCATCTTGATAATAATTGATAGTGCACCTAAAATATTGTTCTAGTACTTGGTTAACTTTCTTATTCTGCCCATCTGTTTGTGAGTAGTATGCTGATTATAAATTGATTTTTGCTTTCAGAAGATTAAAGATGTGTTTCCAGAACTGGAAAGCAAATTGTGGACCTCTGTCAAATACAATTTTTTCAGATATCTTATATAGACAAACTACTTCTTATATTACTAATTGGGCAGTTTGTTCGGTAGTAATGTTTTTATAATAGGTGATGAAATGAGCCATCTTTGTTAAGTGATCCACCATTACTAAAATAAAGTCAAAACCAGAGGATATAGGTAAGTTGATTATGAAATCTATAGATATGAATTGCTATTGGTGTAATGAAATAGGCAAAAGCATTAGCAATCTATAAGGATAATGTCTTGACATTTTTGATCTAGCACACATGTTACATGTTCTAATGTAGTTTTGTACAAAAGATTAAAAGTTGGGTATCAATAATCTCTGGTTACTAGTTTGATGGTTTTGGTTATTCCAAAATGCCCAGCTAGCTTAGAGTCATACTGAGCCTGCAATATCTCAAGTTTTTCTGCTATATCAGGTATATATAAAAGTTCATCTCTATATAGTAAATCATTTTCTCATTCAAACTTGTGATAGTCAGATCGGAAGCCATTGCAGGTGGTATTATTGTTCAAATGGTTAATTATATTCAAAGCAAAAGAGTCTATTTTTAATTGGGATTTAACATGTTGCTGAATGTGTAATCCAATAGTGCTATTGAAACAGCATTTAGATATAATCTCTTTTTCTCTAGCAGAATCATTTAGTAGGAGATGGGTTCTTCATGAAAAGGCTTATAGTCAGGTCTATAAGATAGTGCATTTGATTTGTCTTGATCTTTTTCTTAACAAAACAAGATCTTAAAATCATAGTTGAACAGATATAATAACTAATGGGCCTGATAGTAGTTAAGAAGCCAGACAGTGGTAAATTATTAAAGGTTTTTATAATTGCAATAGATAGTAATTTTGTGTTGGGCCTCTTATAGATAATGCTGCTATTGTTTCAGTACCATTACAATGGCTAGAAGCTCCTTGTCATGAACATCATAGTTTAGTTCTGCAGATAAAAACTTCCAAAAGTAATATGTGACTGGATGTAAATGGCCATCCTTTTGGAGTTAGAACAATATGACCCCTAATGCATAGTTTGATGCATCAGTTTCCAGAAAAAATTGCTTTGCAAGATCTGTATGTACAAGAATTGGGGCTGATGTGAAAGCCTTCTTCAATCTCTCAAAAGCTACTTGTGCTTTGTTGGTCCATTTGAAGCTCTTGCTTGACTTCTGAGTTAGATTTGTAAGAGGTGTGGCCATTTGAGAATAGTTGTTTATGAAATAACAATAGTAGTTCACAAATTCCAGAAACTGCTATATTTCTCTAAGTGTTGTAGGTACAGGCCTTGAGACTAGGTTTTCTATCTTTCTTTTATTCATTTTTATTCCTATAGACCTAATAGTATGCCTCAAAAATTTGATGCAATTCTTATCAAACTTGCACTTCTCCAGCTTTGCATACGGCCAAATTGACGAAGTCATTTCAAGACTAATTTCACATGCTTGGTATGCTCTTCAAGGTTTGTTGAGTATACTAAAATATCATCCAGATATACAATAACAAATCTATTCAAAAAATCTCTGAACACATTATTCATTAGATATTAAAAGAGTACTAAAGCATTTGTAAGCCCAAAGGGCATTACCAGATATTCGAAAAGACTATAACAGATACGAAATGCAGTTTTTCATTTATCACCTGGTTTAATCCTAACTAAATTATAAGCACCCCTTGGTCTATTTTGATAAAGATTCTGGCTAAGAATAGATGATGTAGCAACTCTGAAATAAGAAAGTGTGGATATTAATTTTTTATAGTAGCTTGGTTTAACTTATAATAGTCTACATATAGTCTTAAAGAACCATTCTTTTTTTTGATGAACAATATAGGGCCCCTGTAGAAGATCTGAAATGCTTGATATATTCTTTGTCTAAATTCTCTTCTATATACTTCCTTAATATTTCCAGTTCTAACTTGAAAAGTTTGTATATAGATCCCTATGAAGGCTGTTTTCCAAGTACTAGGGTTTATTGCACAGTCATAAAGCCTGTGTTCTGGCAACCTATTTGCCTTCTTTTCATCGAATATATTACTGAAGTTGTTGTATTTTGTTGGGAGTATTAGGGTGGCTATATTAGAACCCTCATTTACAAACACTATATAGAAGATTTAAGCCACGAAAACTCTTTCTGGCATACTGATATGGGTTGTTGATAGTGCTGAAAATAAGTGCTGAATGTGGAGAATACATTTTGCATTTGGAAATTTTAGTTTACGCTTATGCCAATTAATGTTAAAATTGTGATAAACCAATTATGATAATCTCAGAATGGCTTGATAGTGTGACATTTGAATTAGGTTGAATATGATTTTCTCATAATGGTTCTGATACCTTATCATCAATGGTTTGGTCTTATAAATAACTGCACCTGATAATATTTCTCAGTCATCTATCACCTTTACTGATAGTGGTGTTCTCTTTTTACTAATAGGTAAGTTGTATTGGTATGCTAACATATAATCAAAGAAGCATGCTAAAGCCTCAAAGTTTATTAATACATTAACAGAAAACATGGATTTGTCTAAGAGTTGTATAGAAACTAGTATAACAAGAGTGTCCATTAGGGTGTAAAGGGTCAAATTTTTGGGGATTTGTTATAAGTTCCTTTTAACTGCAGACCCCTTATTGCAGTTGGTGCTTCTCTTTTCCCGAACTTTCTAAATTTGTTTTTGCAACAATGATTTTATGTCTAGTAATGCTCTTTCTTGAACAATTTCTAACAATGTAACTGGATTCATTACAGTATAGGCAAAGGTTATTGGCCCATTATCTCTGCTTCTCTTCTTTAGAAAAAGTTTGTGTTCTTGTTTATTGATTTGCATCAGCTCTGAGAATAGCTGGGCCTACTATAGTTGGATACTGGATTACTTAGACCTACAGTATGGTTTTGCTATTCATGACATTACTCAAATAACCTATTGTCACAGCATACTGTCTTAGATATTGCATCATTCAATGTTGTAGGGTCCTTTATAGTGAGTAATAGGTCTTTTACATCATTTCTAAGCCCTGTTTGAAACTGGTTGATTAATACTGCTTTTTTCCAATCCAGATTGCTAGAAATTTGATGGAATTCTGAAGTGTAACTTGAAGCCAATTTAGACCCTTGGGTGAGTTTTCTGATTCTGTTGGCTGCCATTTTGATCTTGTCTGAGTTACCAAAGGTAGCTTTAAACTCTTTAATAAAACCATCAAAATTATTCAGCAATGCTGATTCTTTTTCAAGAAGTGGGGCAAATCATATCAGAGCTGGGCCTACAAGTAAACTACTAAGCAACTCCATCTGTGTTCTATCACTAGGGTAATGACTGAGCTGTAAACAGATAATAAGCTGTATTTGGTTTAGGAACTCTCTAAATTTGGAACAGATCTTATCGAACTTGTCAAACAGACTAACTTTAGACTCTCTCAGTTGATTGAAAGCTTCTTCTTGCATTAGTTGGTTGAGTTTGTTGTGAACATCTATATTTTCTTGTCTCAACAATTGGTTTTCTTGCTGTATTTGTTGCAATGCAATAAGAATATTATTAAGGTTTAGTTGTTCTTCTATTTTATTGCTATAGTTAGTTAGTTAGGATATTTTTTTTTGTTTTTGTTTTTGTTTTAATTATTAACAGTAAGTATTATTAAAAACAGTTTTGTTTGAGCTTCAAAATTGGGATGTAGAAGTTGTGATGAATGTGGGTTTAAGGGTTTTAGTTTGTTCAAACTGTCATGGCACAAGATCGATCAGTTAGGCATATCATAATAAAGACACAACACAAGATACAAAAATGTAACACCAAAGAACAGGATATTATACACCTAATACTAAAGATTTATTTATTAAACAGACTAAAGAGCTAAGTATACATTTTTCTTCTCTTTTATTTAGTAACTTCCCTATTACTAATTACTAATTATTTTTATGAAACTACCTAAATATTATAGAACTATAACTATATATTTAATATGCTGTTTATTAATATTACTAATTACTAATCTTATTTACTCATTTTTTATATGCATAATGTCTTGGGTTCGTAATGGTCTGAGTTTCAGTCTTGAGTCACTAACTTGAGTCTTAGGCTTGGGTTACGAGCTTAAGTTAGGTTTGGGTCACAGATTTGAGTTATCTTGAGTCACAGACTTGAGTCAGGCTTGGGTCACAGACTTGAGTTACAGGCTTGAATTGTCTTGAGTTTTGGACTTGAGTTGGGCTTGGGTCATGGGTTGGGTGGCTTGGCTGTGTAACTGTAACATTAATATTCATAAGCTTATTTGATAGATCTGATTTTCATCAAGAATATCTATTCATAATATATAGCTAAATTTTAAGATTATTAATAATTCATTAAAACTTTAAATATTCAAAAAATATATTTAAAATATATGCTATAAATGAAAACAGAATTTAAATAGATTTGAAATTTCTTAGTTAAATTGGTGATTAAATTAGTAGTTAAATTAGTAGTTAAATTAGAGTTAGAGTATGAATATTTATATGATAAAATTCATTTTAAAATACTAGTTCTATATAAAATTCTAAATCTGTTATAAAGAATTTTAAAATTTAAAGCAAGCTAAATATTGATTTTATAAATATTTATCACTTAAATAACATTTGATTTGCATTAATTTAGTATGTATATATAAAATATTTAAGTATTTAAAATATATTTAATAAATATTAAGATAATATATTTTTCAGTCTAACTAACTTATTGATAGCTTATAGTCTATTGCTAATTCTAATCATAACCTAACTATTATTTTATTTTATACTAATGGTTCTGTTATCAAGCTTGGTACCTTTTAATGCTCTATGGGCATAAGTTGGGTTCAAGCTGATAATTCTGCAACTATTCACTCATTTTAGACACAAGTTAAACTCTGGTCATGCTTCTTTAAAGCTAAATTCTTGCTATTCTTTCAGCAATTATAACTGCTCCTAGAAACTGTTCTGTTTATATCTTTACAGACTTACAATCTGTTATCTCTAAATATCATAATATCTGCTTATTAGCATCCAAACTTTCTTATACTCATACTTTATACTTTTCTATTTAGCAAACTCTTATTAACTTTATTAACTTATACAACATTCAGCTTACTTTTTACAAAGTTACTGCACACCAAGATTACCTATTTAATAACCTTGCTAACCAACTTGCTCATAGTTACCAAATACTATCTTTTTTAATATTCTTAACTAACAACTCTT